ATCTCTGGCCTCATTCAGAGGCAGTCAAAACTGTGCAGGGAGGAGAGTAAATACACGGGAGGGAGGGAGGGAGGGGGAAAGGGAGGGTAGATCTCTGGCCTCATTCAGAGGCAGTCAAAACTGTGCAGGGAGGAGAGTAAATACACAGGGCTGGGGTAGCCAAGAAAATGAATTTCCAAAGTAGGGAGAGATTTTAGGGAGAGGAGATAGAAGAACAGTCTAGGCCAGGGGAATAGCATGAATGAAGAAGTGGAGCTGGAGTGTGCAAGGCCAGTTTGGGGAATTTTGAGGAGACCAGTTTACCGGGTTATGCCAACTGGTAAAGGTCTGTGATTGCTGAGTTGAAGAGTTTGGACCTTACCCTTCAGGTAATACAGAGCTTAAAAAAAAAAAAAAAAGGTTCATGAGCAGCAGGATGAAATAATGAAACCACCAGTTCAGTCAGGCAATCTTTATGCAGAGGTTAAGTCCGGAGGCAGGGAGGCCAGGGAGGAGGCTCGAGAGAGAAGGTGGGGCTTGAGTTCCGGCAGTGATAAGAAGGCAGGAGGTAGGGAGGATGGCGCAGGCAGGAGAACACCCTTCTCCACCAGTCAAAGCCCGGTTCACTTCGTGCTTTGGGAGAGGCTGGTGGGGTGCTGAAGAGCTTGGGCTCTGGAGTTAGAGTAGTCTGGGTTTGAATCCCAGCTGAGTGCCCCTGGGAAAGTCACCTAGGCTCTCAGAGCCTCTCTATCTATGAAATGAGAACAGAGTTGGCAGCATAATTTTAGGACCCAGTGCAAAATGAAAATGTGGAGCCCCTGTCTGAAAAAGAAGAGGGAAAAACATGCCATCGAAGGTACTAAAATATAAAGCTTTTCCTTTCTTCTGCATCTCTGCTTTACTGGTCACAATGGGGTTTTTTATTTGCTATTTACTCTTCTAAGTAAAGAAAAAGGTAAAATTTAAATTATTAGCCTGAATCATATCATTCATCTTCATTTTGTGCAATGCCAGTTTTTTTTTATTCTTATGTTAATCCCCATACATTACATCATTAGTTTTAGATGAAGTGTTCCATGATTCATTGTTTGTGCATAACCCACCCAGTGCTCCATGCAGAATGTACCCTCCTCAATACCCACCACCAGGCTAACCCATCCTCCCACCCCCCTCCCCTCTAGAACCCTGTTTGTTTTTCAGAGTCCATCGTCTCTCATGGTTCGTCTACCCCTCCGATTTCCCCCGCTTCATTCTTCCCCTCCTGCTACCTTCTTCTTCTTCTTTTTTTTTTCTTAACATATATTGCATTATTTGTTTCAGAGGTACAGATCTGAGATTCAACAGTCTTGCACAATTCACAGCGCTTACCAGAGCACATACCCTCCCCAGTGTCCATCACCCAGTCACCCCATCCCTCCCACCCCACCCCCCACTCCAGCAACCCTCAGTTTGTTTCCTGCATCAGTGAGATCATATGATACATGTCTTTCTCTGTTTGACTTATTTCACTCAACATAATACCCTCCAGTTCCATCCACGTCGTTGCAAATGGCAAGATCTCATTCCTTTTGATGGTGTGCAATGCCAGTTTTAAACGCAAAATTAAGAGCATTTCACTCACACGTACAATCACTAAAATGACACCAATTGTATTTCATAGCCTGTGTGTGCATATGTGGGCCCAGCACACTTGCATTGTGCAACTCTGTTGTGCATGCATATATATTTAGTTTGGACCAGAACAGTGGGAATACTGCACAACACTTACTCACTGCTTTTATTTCACTTGTTTCACATCCTAGCCCTTGGGCTCACTCATGAATAAGGATGTACTGAGAGAAAAGGGAACTCTGGCTTGCCCTTTCTTTCCCTTTTCTTCTAAGGACATCCTTTCTAATATAAGTGGTTGGTTGGTGAATGCTGGGGAATAACATGAGTAAGAAAGTGTTTCTTAGGACACTACTGCCTTCCTTTGGCTTTTGAAGCAACTTCTGGTTCAAAGGGGAAGTATGGCCTCTCAGGGTGGTCAGCACTCTCACTTACTCAGTCGTAGATCTAACACACTTACTTTATACTTGGTTTGAGTCTCACTGAACTCCCATGAGTCTACCAGAATTCTGAGCTCATGGAGCATCACAGACTCTGTATTTGAATGGGACAACATATTCGGCACGTCCTCTCTGCTCACACGCATGCCCTGCTGACTTCACTTACAAAGCAGAAGTTCAGAGATAAAATTATTAAGAATTTCAAGACAATGATAGCAGAGCATTAACCAAGCATCAGGCCCTGTGTGACCACTCAGTTTGTATGCCCACACAGCTGGCCCTGCCTGGGGATAATAACTGTGTAGTACTTATTCTAGCGTTGTTGTGAGGATTAAATTCAAAGCTGGGCCTATCTGACTCTAGTCACAGCCCTTTGGCTGCAAAAGACAAAACCTGCTCAAACTGCGACAAATAAAGGTAGATCTACGCAAAGAGTGCACAACTGTACCCTGTGGAATCTTCGGGAGACAAGGGCAGAAGTACGGTAGAAGCTCTGAGGAACTTGGATGCCATTAAGCAGTCTCTGTCTCTGCCTCTCTCTCCTCTCTGACACTACATGGTATCTTGACTCAATTTCTTGCTTCACGTGGACTTGGTTTTCCCCTCTGCTTTCCCACTGCTGTACTTCAGATGATGTTAACTCTGGCCCTCTTAACTCTAGTCCAAGTACCTACGGTCTTCTGGATATAATCTTCGGCTCAACGCTTAAACTCTCAAGAGGGAGTCTGATTGGCTCAGCTCACCTGCCTACGGCTGAGCTACTCCTGGCCCAGGGCCCTCCCCTGGCCACTCAGCTGTGGAGGGGGACTATATGAGCAGCTCAGGCTGCCTCCCAGGTATCCTCCGTCAGCCCCAAACACACAGCTGCCCTTACACACCTCCACCTGGAGTCCCCCAGGCCCCTCACACTCCACTTGGCCCCAAATGCAGCCCCTGACTCCTCTTCCCACATCAATCGGCTAAACCCCTCACCCACCCAGCTACTGAAGCCAGAAACTTGGGGGTTAGCTGTGACTCCTAACTATCTCTCACTACTACATCTAATCCATTACTAGATCCTGTCCATCACAGCTCCCTCTGCCTTGGTTCACACTGCCTCATTTTTTGTCAGGAAGATTGCAGGGTCCCTTCAGCCTCTGCTCCCCCCCTTCAAAAGCTTCAGGGGGAAGCTCCATCTCTTATTGTTTAAAAAGCCTTCAGTACAAAATCCAGGCCATTATACAGACAATGAAGGTTCTCAGTGTCAAAGCCCAGTCTCTCTGAGTTACCTTCCTGATCCTGGTGTTCATGCTCCTTATGATCCAGCCATGCTGAGGGACTGAATCACTGTGTCTGGCACACAGCTGAGGTTTCCCACCTTCAACACAGGCTGTTTTTTCTGACTGCAACACCCTCTCCTTCACATGTCTAAATGCTTCTAAGACCTACCTTTCCACCATGCTCCACCTTGGCCCCCTCGGGTGAGGTGAGGCAGGCATGCCGACTGCCAGACAGGCTGTAAGTTCCGCCAACCATCTGTCCTGTGAGGGAGTTAGAAGGAGCTAGGACCAGATGCCAGGACTGAAGTTCTCAGTGCATGGCAGCTGGGAGGTGGGGAGGATAGACCCGCCCTTTGGACAGCATGCCTGTGACCTGTCACTTTGGCCACTAGCTGTTTGTCCAAGTGCAGATAAAGCCCAGCCCCACTGAGTGCCTCTCTGCTCAAGGGGGCATAGTGAAGATGAGATGGAGGAGGAGGACCACAGTTCTATCCTGAGAGGAAGAGATCAAGAGCTGGGGGTACACATGGTCTGGGCAGGGGTCAGCAACCAGGGGCCAGGCTGGAAGCTGGGGCTTGTGTGTGCAGTTGCAGTCAGAATCTGGGAAGGCTTTCTGGCTGCAGAGGCACTGTAGGGTCTAGGGTTTGAACAGCTGACTGGGTGGGCTCAACCCTGGAATCTATGACCTTGTGCCGCCAAGGCGGACCCCGGAGGGGGAAGACAGCAGAGGCCAGCTTGGTGGGAGGTAAGATGGCCCATGGGATGAGACTGGCTGGGTCTTAAGCTGAAAGGGGTACCTGAAGTAGATTGCTCTCTCTGCTCCTCTTTTTGGTGGGGTGAGTGGTGTCTGCCTTCCCATAGCTTGCTTCCCTGACCCGCAGCCCTTTCTCTTGTCTCCCCTAGAGCGGCTGGAACTCAGAAAGCAAAGCGCTGGAATGGGGGTTCCTCGGTCCCTCCCCATCCCTGGCTCAGGATCACTCTCCCTGGGGGCCCTGGCCAGAGGCCTCCATCCCACCCCCTCAGGCCTCTGGGGATCCCCACGCCCACCTCTGAAGTTACATTTCCTGCTGGGGTGAGGGTGTGAGTCCAAGGGAACAAGACTGGTTTTCTTTCTCTTATACCTGTTCACTGTCAGAGTTTCGGTTACATGAGGAATAACCGTGCACTGCTGAAAATCTGGAAGGGATAAAGAAAGGACAAAATTCAAAAGAAGAAAACATCAAGTAATCTGCTCCGTAGCAGATGCGCTTATTCACAGGCTTTCGGGTTCTGTCTAGATCCAGGGTCACTCTTTGCATAATTCAAATTCGGGGGTAGGAAGCCCTTCTGCGGACACCTCTATTTTGCCACCTCCCTGGACCCAGGAAGGCTCAAAAGAAGGCAGCTCACAGACCCGTGCTCCGCAGCCTGCCGCAGCTCTCGGCCCCTAGGGGCGCCCGGAGCTCTGCGGATAGGGGCCGAGACCCCTCCCGGCCACGCTCGGCCCTCCCCTCGCAGGCTGCCTCAGTTCCCTCTTCCGCAGAATGGGCGGGCGGCTCAGCCTCCGGGTCCCCGGGCGCTGCGGGGGCGGGGCGGCGGCAGGCTAGCGAGGGCTGCCGGAAGGGGTGTGAATGCGGGGGCGGGCTCCGCACCGCCCCGCCCCGGGGAGGGAGCTGGGGGCGCCGCATCCTGGCGCGGGCCTCCGACGCCGCTGCCGCCACTGCCGTCGGGGAAGGTCCCAGCGCTGACATGACCTCGCGCGGCGCTCGCCCGGGCCCAAGCTCCCGGCGTCCCGCGCAGTAGCCCCGCGAAGAGGCGGACTCGACGGTGCCGACCGCGCAGAAAATCAGGCGGGCGGCATGGAGGCGGCGCACCTGCTCCCGGCCGCCGACGTGCTGAACCGCTTCTCGGTGAGGGTCGAGAGCGGCCTGAGGCCGGAGCAGGTGTCTGGCGCGCGGGAGCGCTACGGCCCCAACGGTGAGAGCGCGGGCCTGGCCGGGGAAGCTAGGGGCCGCACGCGCCGCAGTCTCCGTTTACTCCCCTACGCCGAAACCGGGGAGCGGTCCTCCCCCTTTCCAGCCCTCGGTCCCCGCGGGCGGGCAGGAAGCGAGAGCTCCGGAAACTTCTGCAGATGCTCTTGGGGCACTCGGACGGGCTGCGCGGCCACCTTCGCGGGGGGTTGGGCGGGTTCCGGGTTTAGAGACCTGACGCCTGGCTCCCCCTCCCAGCTCCCCTTCCCCCAGGCTCAGGGACCTGTGCGGTCCTTCCGGGCTTCCCACATACACCCCCGACCCTAGCCACTCCCGCAAGCTTGAATCCACCACTATCCACTGTCAGCGCTGGATCTTGGCCCCGCACTGCAACCTGCCCGCATCATGCAAACGCACACGCTGAGATCAGCTGGCTAGGGACCAGTCAGGGACTCTGAGACCCAGCCTCCCAGCTGGCCCTGAGGGTCTCTCCGAGGGCACAGTAAAAAACCCAGAAGGTGCAGCTTGTCAGTTGACAGCCTTGGTGCCCCCGCCCCCACCCCCAGGTCTTCCTCTTTCTGCAACCCAAGGAGGCGGATGTGGCTGGCGGGAGTCGGTGGGGGCTTTGAACTGCTGAGGCAGGAGACCCACTTTTGCGGGGTGGGGGCAGACTCAAGGCCTCACTCAGGGAGTTGCTAGGGAAGGCCTTTTCCTCTTGACCTGGAGGGGCACCTGACCATCTCTGGGCAGGGAGGGAGCCTTCCCGCTACTGCTCTTTGGGTGGAAATGGCATCATTTCTTCCTGGTCTTCAAAGGAGTTTGGGATTCTCCATCTGCCAGAAGGCAGAAGTACCAAGTACTCTCCGGATGTGGCCCTGAGCACATTTGGAGGCCCTGTAAAGGTGGAAGATGTAGAGGTCCCCTCCTCAAGTCACTTGCCACCCTCTTCATCCACCCCCAGGGCACTGGGCACGATGTTAGGGATCCAGATGGAAATGTCCCCTCCATCCCCAAAGTGCAGCCTGGACCCACTTTGTTTTAGGACTTGCGGCCTCACCCTTTCAGGGATCCCAGCCAGCCAGAGGGGAAAGTGCTCTGGCCATGAGCTCAGGGATGGCTTGAAAATTACCAAGAGCTGTCAGAAAGGGAGCTTTGGGTTTTGTATTGGCTTATGAAAACCACCTCTTATATAAATATTATCTTTCTGGAGCAGAAATCCTTTTCCAAAAAAATTAGTTGCTATATTTAGTTGAGCTGTGGGAGGAACTAGAGAGATAAATATTATTTAATGTCCTCCATTAGTGACTTGGCAGGGAGGGTGTCATTGCTACAAGAGGGCAAGGCAGCAGGACCTGTCCCCCAACCCTGGGGTGGGGATGGGGATCAAGGCAGCAGGTCTGGGGTTCCACAGCCTCTTCTGCGCTGCTGTGGCCTCCAGCTTGGGAGTCCTGAATCCCAAGGAAAACTGGAGATCCAGCCCTTGGTTCTGCCTCCAGAGGCCCTGTGTGGCCCTGGGCAACATCCCTCTTCTTTCTGGTTCCCCTTTGTTCGTTGATCCAGCAGAGGGGCTGCCTGAGAAGGAGCGAGCCTCTAGTTCTCCCCCATGTTGTTTTGTGTAGGTAAGGGGATCTGAGGGTGAGCGGGCCACTAGCATCTGTGTGAGGTGATGGATAAGGATGTTGGTGTGGTATATAGGTCCCCAAAGAGGTGGATGTGCAGTGGTAGGTAGGTAGGTTGGGAGGCCATTGATTGGCTCCCCTAGTTTCCTTGTGCTTTGATAGTAGCAATAATGAAAGCTAATGATCGGGCACCTGAGTGGCTCAGTCGTTAAGCGTGTGCCTTCGGCTCAGGTCATGGTCCCAGGGTCCTGGGATCGAGCCCCATATCGGGTTCCCTGCTCGACCGGGAGCCTGCTTCTCCCTCTTCCACTCCCCCTGCTTGTGTTCCCTCTCTCGCTTTCTCTGTCCCTGTCAAATAAATAAAATCTTAAAAAATAAAAAGCTAATGTTCACTGAGCACTTACTATGTGCCAGGCACTGTTCTTAGCACATTTCATCTCTTATTTATTCCCCAAAACAACTCTATGAAAACAACTGTAGTCATTCCCATTTTACAGAGGAGGTAACTGAGTCGCCAGCATGTTAGACAGCTTGCCCAAGGTTACACAGTACTTGGTAGAGCTGGTGCTGGGTACCTGTCCCTCTCCGGCCTCGCTTTTCCTGTCTGTACAAGGGAGTCACTGGTTCCACAGGCCCTGGGCCTGTGGTATTGGTGACTGTGCTAGGATGGGGGTCAGCTAGGCAGTAGCCATCCCAGCCATGCCGCCAACCCCACGGGGCCCCAGAGAGCCCTCAGATCACTGATTGGCTTCTTCCTCGGGAAGCATTTCAGGGCTCTGGAAGTCCTCAGGTGAGGAGCGGGGAGCCAGCTTCCCCTTCCTGCATCATGCTCTCGCTCTGACCAGCCCCAGCTGAGGAGGAGGCATGGCTGAACTGCAATATCTACAGGCACTAGGGAGGTCTTTCCCTCTTAGGTGACCTGGAGTGGTAAACGCATCTCTGGGGGAGGCCTGACAGAGTTTCGAACCTTAGCTCTGCCCCCTTCATAGCTGTGTAATCCTAAATAAGCCCCTTCTCCTCTCTGTGCCTTGATTTCTCCACCATAAGTGAAGCTACAATAGGACCCATGTCATGTGGTTGCTTATAAGTGTTTGTGCCACCAAGCCATCCCTCCTTGTAGCAGACAAGTCTGGGCCAGGCTCCAGGCCAGCTGGGTGGTGGGGTGGGCCCAACCTACAGGTGGAGGGAAACACCCCAGGGACTAGTGTCCTCCCCCACCCCAGGAGTCTATGCACCTGCAAGGTTGTTAGTGCTGGAAACCACCAGGAAGTCATTTGCTTAAGTCCTGAAGTTTGCAAATTCTGCTGGCGGATGGAGGAAGGGAGGCTGTAAAGCAGGGACTGGGGATCCTGCCCTCCCACCTTCTCTTCCTCCTCCCTCCTCAGAGCTGGGGGATGGGGGCTCAGCAGTGCTGTCAGTGAGTATGCCAGCTGGGGGTCCCCCATACACACAGAGCACAGCCTCTCTCAACCCCAGTGAATAGAGGTGTCCTCTGAAACCCCAACAGGGCAGTGAGTGGGAGGCTTCTGGCCCAGCACCTCTTGTGAGCATGCCCTTCCCTGCAGGTCCCAGAGGTGCCCAGGACTCAGCTTCCTCCGGAGGCTTTCTACATCCTTTCAGTCTATTTTTTGAATAAAATTGTGCACATAGTACAACATTCAAAGGGTACAAAAGATACAGTAAAGTCTCCCTAGACCTGTCCCCAACCACCCAGTGTTCCCAGTGTCTTGTGTCTCCTTCCCAAGATATTCTGTGTACGTACACATCTACGTCTGTGATCTATGATCTTCTTTACGTGAAAGGGAATGATAGTGAGTGCTGTTTTGCCCCTGTTTTCCGTGGAGATGGTGCCATGTGGGCCATCCGCAGTCTTCCTAGTGGCTATGCAGAGTTTCCTGTGGCTGTTGTAGTCTTTGTTGGCCTGGCTTTTGGAGGGCGCTTGGATTGTTCATAGCCTCTCCTATCACACATGTTACAAGGCATATTCTTGTCCCCACATCACTTCACACACTTGTCAATAGTGCCAAAGGCTAAATTCCTAGAAGTGGAATTGCTGGGTCAGAAGTCATGTGTAGTGTAAATTTGGACAGCGGTTGGGAAGTTGTTCTCCATAAAGCTGACACACCTGTTTCCTCGCCCCTGCCCCACTGCAGTGCGCTACTGGACATTCTGATCTGTGCCGATCTGATGCAAAAGGGTCCTCTCATAGTTTTACTTCACGTTTCACTGCTTACAAATCAGGTTGGGCATTTTCCCCTATATTTAGGAGCCATTTGATTTCCTTGTGTCCTTGAACGGACCGCCCGTCACCTTTGCTGGACATGAGCCAAGGCAAGAGGCAAAACTGTGTTGGGCTTGTCCTCCCAAGTGCGCCAATGCCTAATGGCCCTGGAGAGCCTAGTGATATGGAAGTACAGGCAAGAACCCAGAAGGTCTGGGGTTGTTCCTGTTCTGGGGAGCTGGGGGAAGGTCTCTAACAGGAACCAGAGCCTGCCTTCCTGGACCTCACGCTGCCCAACTGTGTAGTGGATACAACAGCCCCGGAGCTGCAGGTGGAAGGGATGGCCAGATTTAGATTACTGCCAGTGGGGTCTGGGCTGTGACCTTATGCCCTGCCCTCAGCCCAGACCCCAGTTGGCTGCTGGAACTCAGGAAATACAGATGTGTGGCCCTTGGAAACTTGGCCAAGGGGAGTGGGGCCAGGCAGGAGGAGGGGGTGAAGTCTGACTGGTCCAACTCGCTAGGTGGCCTCAGGAGGACTTGTCCCTCCTTGGCCTCAGTGTCCTCCTCAATGCAGACATGGAACCCCTAAAGAGATCCCCTAAAGGCCTCTCAGGATGTGAAATGACTCTTGGATCTGAGGGAGGTGTGGTTTGCCCGCAGGCATTGGGAAGCTACAGGTCTTTCAGGCTTCACCATAGCTTTCATGCCCACTGGCCCTCTTGGACAGCCTTAGAGCACCCTCCCAGGAGCAGCATCCCCTTGTACCAGGAGCTCCCTGAGGCAGGGCTGAGTCTGTCCACAGCACAGCTTGCACACAGATGCTAAGCAGACCCTTTGCCAGGGTTTCCTAGTGCCAGATCAGCCAGGTAGGCTGTAGGCCCCTGCACTGGGAGAGCTGCTTCCCAAGGCCCCTTGAGAGCAGGGCCATGTTGTCCACTCTAGGTAGGTCCTTGAGACCCAGACAGGGCCAGGTAGGCTCGGTGGGGTCTGCTCAGTGAGGGCCTCTCCCTGACTCTGCAAGTGGTGATTTAATTGCTCTGTAAACTTACCTTTGAGGAAGACCTTGGTGAGCTCTTGCCTCTCCAGGCTGGAACCAACATTTAGAAGTTGAAATACCAGTTTCCAATGTTTTGAGATGAGAAGAAAGGAGTCAAGAGGGTAGATTAGGGGAGCAGGTGGTGCATGGAACCTGGGGCAGTGTGGGCCCTGCACCCCACTTCTCCTGGGCTCCAGGCTCCGGGCCCAGGGCCTTTACCTGAACCGTGGGGCAACTGACTAAACAATTCTCTGAGGCTCTTTGTGGACGCAGGGATGACTCAGCCCCTCCCCACCCTGGAAGCGTCCCAGTCAGGTGGGGGTGGCCCCAGTACTGATGATTGGTAAAGAAGAGCGGGGGAGGGGCTTTCCCCAGAAGCCTTCCTGAAAGGCTGGGGTTTGGATGAGGACTTAGGGAAGCGTACTCTGCACAGAGGGAATGGCCCCAGCAAAATCTTGGAGGGGAAAAAGCTGTAGCAAAACCAGGGAAGGTGGTGGCAGTTCTGAGGCATCTCGCTTGGCTGGCAGATGGACGAATGCCTCAGGTATAGGAGGATTCTTGAGGGCTGGGTTGAGGCAGATCCAGGAAGGCCCTGAAGGCCATGCTAAGGATGGTCTTTATTCTGCAGGCCAAGAAGAGCCACTGATGGTTCATGAGGCAGGGTCATTCATTCGCTCACTAATCTTCATTGAGCACCTACTATGGGCCAGGCACTGCTCCAGGTGCTGGAGACACTGCACTTAACAGAGTCGTACTGGCAAGGAGCTTACATTTTAATAACTAATATTATAGCTAATGTTTATTGAGTATTTACCATGTGCTGTGCATGTTCTAAGCACCTTATGAATAGCATGTCAGTTAATCTTCACAATGACTTAAGAGTAGTTGCTATCATTATCCTTATTTTGCAGATGGGGAAACTGAGGCACAGAGGGGGTTAAGTGACTTGTCCATAGTCAGAGAACTATCAAGAGATAGAGCAAGACATGAACTTAGCCCTCTGGGCCAGGTTCCTTGCCCTAAACCATGAAGCTTCTCTGATCATATACTCCTCTTTGCCCCGCCCTGGACCCACAGACTAACTCCAGACCCCTCCAGGCCAGCCCCACGTTGGGCATCTGGGGGTGTAGGCCAGCTCAGTCTGGCATCAGTGACCCAGAGCAGGGATTGTCTGGCAGAGTCCACCATGTGAGAGGTCCAGAGGTACACTATTTCAGAAGAATAGTGGGGGGCTACTTCCCACCAGGCTGGCCCAGCAGGGATGTGGGGGGGGGGTGGCGCTTCCTACTACTGTCTTTACCTGCACAATCTGGCGAATGGCACCAAGAGGCGGGCAGGGCTGGGCCATTCTCCCCATTTAACAAATGGGACATCTGGCACTGCTGAGGGCTCAAGCCCACCCCCCCCCCAACAGAGCCTGAGGATAGCAAGGGGGAAACAGCATATAACAGGGGTGCCTGGGGAGAGGCTGGGAGGGTGCTCTCCTAGCTGCTGCTAGTCTGCTAGCCCCTCCTAGTTCCTCCATGGCCCTGGGACCCAGTCATGTGAAGGGAAAATTGGGTCGTCTGGGGTCTTGGCAGGATTGGAGTTTGAAGAAGACCAGGCCTGAGCAGACAGAGCCTAGTAACGCCCAGAAAACCCTCACAAAAACCACCTGTGAGGACAGCAGAGCCTTTTTGGGCAGGGATGATTTTGGCTAGTGGCTCTGGGGTCACAATGGAGGGGTGAGCTTGTCAATGGGATGAGGGCCTCCAGCCTAATAATCAGAACGTAGGACGCCACGTTCTCTCAGGTGACTTTGGCCAGGGAAGGCAATGGGACAGGGTGGGAAGGCAGAGCAGCTTAGGAGTTAATCCAGGAGGGGCCAAGCAGGGGACCAAAAGCCAGACCACCTGAGTTCAAAGCTGCCACTTCCCAGCTGTATGACCATAAACTAGTCACTCAACCTCTCTGTGCTTCAGCTGTCTACTCTGCAAAATGGGAATAATAATTGTACCTTCCTTCTCAGGTTCTCTGAGAATCACAAGAGAGTTAATGCACTAGAGGGTGCATGGCATCTGGCACACTCAACACTAATAATTCTGCTATCGTTACTCTAGCTGTGGAGTACCATCTTACATGCTTTGCATGCGATACCTCCCCATTCATCTCTGGAGATAATGTAGGTAAAGCGCTTGGGACATAGTAGGTGCTCAGTAAATGTGGTTCTTATTTATAATGATGGTAATCCTCACAGCAGCCCCTTGGGGTGGGGCTGGGTACCCCATCTTCCAAATGAGGCTCAGGACCCCACAGGGAACCAGCTGCTCAGGCAAGACTAGAAGCATGTGCACTGCATGTGCAGGGATAGGCAGGGCATCTCCTGAGAGCTCGTGGCGGGCTGAGCCTTCCCCAGGGGAGTGGGTAAGGGTAAAAGGGGAACCTTGTAGTAGAGGCTAGGTCTGGGGAGAAGGGGGTACCAGTCAGGATCGGCCAGGTTATGCTGCAATAACAAACCCCGTATCTCGATGGCTTAAGACAATACAGGTCATTTCTTGCTCACACTGTATAACTATGTCAGCGGCAGGTCGTCTGGGGGCTCCGTGTCTCCTGTACTCTGTGATTCTGGTTCACAGAGCAGACACCATCTCACAGGTTGCTGGTTACTGTGCCAGAGGGACAAAGAGCTCTAGATCTGCACTGTCCAGTACACAGCCACTAGCCTTGTGTAGCTATTTAAATTTAAATGAATGAAAATTAAGTAAAATTTAGAATTTAGCTCCTCGGTCACGGTAGCCGCATTCCCAGTGCTTGAGAGCTGCGAGCAGTTGGTAGCTGCCGTATGGGGCCGTGCGGCTGGAGGGCACTTCCATCACCACAGAAAGTTCTACTGGACAGTGCCCTTCTAAGTTGAGAGTCTCCTGCCACCACGTTAGTGCCCCTGCCCAGAACTAACATGCATCCTTCTTCTTGTAACTTGCACAAGGGCCAGGAAATGCAGTCGTACTATGTGCCCACAAGGTGGGAAAAATCAGAAGTATCTGGGGAACGAATGACCACCAAAGAGTGGATCCTGAGTCAAATTTTGGGTCAGAATGCGGAAGGGGAGAACTTGAGAGACCACCGAGATGGGCAGAGGGCAGCTTGGGGGGGAACTTGAGCTGCTATGTGTGCCCTGTGACATGCTTCCCAACCCCAGGTCTTGACCCTGCCCAGAAAAAAATGGCCTTATACAGTGGCCTAGGGGCTACATGCCTGACAGACGGGAGGGGTGAGGGAGATACAGCAGGAGGGATTCAGGTGAGCCTTATGGATAAACCCTTTTTTTTGGTCAGGAACACTGAAGACCTTCATAGACATAGAAGGTTTAGAAGTCTCTCCTGGGTAGAGCATGGCAGAAGCAGGCTGATGTGTGCCATGAGGTTGGAACTGTTCTCGGTGACCTCTAAAGGACCCTGCTCCATTGGAGAATTGGCCCAGAAAACCAGGCCTGGCCCTCCCCTGCCTTTCCTGTTCACTTTAGCTAAATAGATCAGAAGGAAAAAGTCTGTTTGATTTTAATCTCAACGCAGGACACTGGAGATTACATTTTCCACGGAAAATGTCAGCTGTTGCCTAAAATAGGACTAGGGAGAAAATGCTAGAAAATGTATTTTTAGGTTATATGTTTTCCTCCTGGATTCCTGCAGTCCAGTGGGCTGTTTGATACTCTCCATGGTTCGGCGGCCAGGTGCCCCAGATCTTCCAAACAGGTGGTCTGGGGAGAGGGCTCCCACAGGAAAAATGTTTGCAGATACTTGAGCTAAAAGCAGGTGGACAGTCACAAGGACCTGTGTCAAGAAGGAGGAAGAGGAAGAGAGAGCCAGCCTAGGGTAGAGGCTCAGAGTCTGCATTGCTGACAAGCTCCCAGGTGATGCCAGTGTTGCTGGCCTGGAGACTGGACTCAGTAGCAGGGCTCAGGTAGGCTCAGTCTGGGAGGAGCCCCAGACAGGCCTCAGCAGGGCCTAAGCTCAGCCTATGGAGAGAGAGGCCCATTGGAATCCACCCTTTGAGGCCCAGCTCCTGCCCCTCCCCATAGACCTGCCTACTTGCTGCGTGACCTTGTTCAAGTCACTTTGCCACTCTGGATCTCAGTTCTTGCACCTGTGAAACAGGGTGAGCATTCCTGCCCTGTCACCCCTTAAGCTGTTGGGAAGATTCAAAGACTTCAGGTACCGAGGCAACCAGCTCTACCTGGAATAAAAGGTGCTTCAGGAAATGTAGGAGATAAAAATAGAGCTTGTAAAGTGACAGCAGGTCCTGGTGGTGTTTGGGAGCATCATTCCTCAAAATGTTCTGTGGGCCGCAGACTGGGCATGTGGGATGGGTCTTGCCCCGTGTAGAGGGTCTGGGAGGGAACAAGTTGAGACTCAACCCCTAGGAACCGAACCATGGCACGTTACGCTGCCTGGGACGCTGGTTGCTGAGGTCGCGCCCAAGGGAACCCCCAGGTAGGGTGGGGCTCAGCGGGCTGGCCGTGCTGCAGACCTTATGTCAAGTGCTCCCAGAGGAGCAGGTATGTCAGAGGGAGACTGAGCCAATGTTCTCAATTTGAGGGAGGGCCTCCCTTGCCGTGGCCGTGGGGGACATTGAACAGGATTGTGCAGCCATCTGAGGAAGAGCAATGCCCGGGAGCTATCAACTCCCTGGTGACCTCAGGGGTCCCATCTCTTCTCCAGTGTGCTCCGTTTCTCCTCTGTATGTGGGGGGAGAGGAGGTTCTAGAAGGGCCCTCCTGGCTCTGATCTTGAACCGAGGTGAGCCAGCCCGTACCAGACCCTCCTTAACCAGGGTGGGGTGAAGTGAGTGGAGGAGTGGAAGCCTCTGGGCTCAGACCATCCATTCTGTGACCTCAGAGAGCTGTGGGGACATGTCTAGACCTTCATGGTGGCCTGGATAGGCACAGTTGGGAGGGACTGCTGAGACACCTCCACAGTCCCACTGCATAACTCATTTATCTCTTGTCTCCTCATGGCTCCTGTGGCTGCCTGGATCCTGCAGAGCTCCCGACTGAGGAAGGTGAGGCTTGGGCCAGGGCGGGCTGCAAGACCACCAGGCAACATCCTTGGGCTGTTCACTTTCAGGTTGTGTCCTTCCCTCTCCCCAACAGAGTGAGGCTTGCCTGAGCCTCCCACTATCACCCACCTGTGCCTCTAGGGCCTCAGGCTCTTGCTCTTTGAATGGTAGGGAGGGAGTGGGCCAGGTGGTCTCCGAGGTGGTCCCAGCTCTGAATGGGGGCAGGTCAGTCGGTAAGGGACCCAAGCTTCACATGGTGCTCCGGTTCTCAGGGAAGTCCCTGTGGGAGCTGGTGCTGGAGCAGTTTGAGGACCTCCTGGTGCGCATCCTGCTGTTGGCTGCCCTGGTCTCCTTCGTAAGTAAGGCCCCCATCACCCAGCATCAGAAAGCCTGGAAGGGAGAGCCAGGTTGGGCCAGTGCTCAGAGGCCCAGGCTCTGAACCGCAGGTCTGTCCTCTCAGCTGGGGACATCCCCGGGCCTCTACCCACCCCCTGCCTTGCTCAGACTTCAGCTTCCCTTGCCTGAAACCTCGAAGCCTGCCCCCTACACACTGGACTCCTGGCTCCCATCTGTCCCCTTCCACTCTGACTGTCAGAGTGAGCTTTCAGAAGCACAGGTCTGATCCCCACCCCTCCCTGCCTTAGGGCCAGGTTTCTCAACCACAGCACTGTTGACATTTTAGACCAGATAATTATTTGTATGGAGGCTATCCTATGAGCTGGAGAAGATTTAGCAGCATCTGTGACCTCCACCCACTAATGCCAGTGGTACTCCCCAGTTATGATGATCAAAAGTCTCCAGATGTTGCCAAATTGTCCCTCGTGGAGAGCCCCTTCCATGGCTGCCAGTGCCCCACAGAAGAATTTGGGCCTTAACCTCTTACAGCTTGTCTGCGCTGCTCTCCCCCATTCTTACTGCCTGAATGCCTCCTGGACCTGCAGGGCCACGGGGCCAGCGTGGGGCTGTGGGGAGGGGGACAGTAGCTCTCACTGATGGCTGAGCAGCAGAAACCCAAGGGTAATGCAGGAACTGTGGCCACCCTGAGGGTGGACACAGTTCCTGCTCTTGGCCCTGTGCCCAGCAGGGCCTGGGGAGGAGACCTCAGGTTGGTGACATGGAGCGCAGGGAAGCAGGGGCCCAGCCAGCTGTGTCTGGCCTTCCTAGCAACCGTTCTTGTGGAAACTGATGACTCTTACAGAGCAAAAAAGGCCTGTCGGTGCACGGGCCTTACCACAGCCGAGCCAAAATGGTGCTGGTGCCCTCCACGGTTCCAGGGGACCCACTGAGACCTGTGGAAGGGAGTGACAGTACCCACCTGGGCCAAGAGGTGGGAGCAGGACTTTAACCAGGTATTCTGCCTCCAGGCCTGGGCTCTGGCTGGAATTATGCTTCTCTGGCCAATGGACTTCAAGCTCAAGCCTGTAACGGGATCACCTGGGTTTGTTAACACATAGACTGCTGGGCCTCACCCCCAAGTTCCCGACACGGGAGCACCGGGATAGACCCTGAAAACTGCATTTCTAACAAGTTCCCCGGTGATGCTGCGGTTGCCAGTCTGGCTTCACACTTGGAAAACCACAGCCAGGCAGACAGTGAGACCTCTAGCTGTACAATGGCCCCATATCCTGAAAGTTGGCTGGGTGGGACGTGGACAGTGGCAGTCACTACCTGCAGATGAGCCAAGGCCTCAGAGCAGCCCTCTCCAAGCCCAGCGCTCCCCAGGGGTATCTCTCCCAAAGCAGGAGACAGCAGACCCAGGGTATGAAGGAAACGGTGAGCAGACCCTGGCCCACAACATCACCCCAACTCACCAGCTCTGACTCCATAGGTCCTGGCCTGCTTTGAGGAGGGTGAAGAGACAGCAACAGCCTTCGTGGAGCCCCTGGTCATCATGCTGATCCTCGTGGCCAATGCTATCGTGGGCGTATGGCAGGTGGGAGGCACAGAGCTGGGCCTGGGCCTTCGGGTCTCCTGACTGCTCCATGTGACCGCCACTTGGTGTTAGAGACCTGCAGGTCCTTCTGCTTCTAGCTCCATCCCAGGCCCCAGGGGTGTCATTACAAGGGGTCAGCCTGCAAGGGCCAGTGGGGATGACCACCTACCTGCCTCATGTTCTACAGGAACGCAATGCTGAGAGCGCCATTGAGGCCTTGAAGGAGTACGAGCCTGAGATGGGCAAGGTGATCCGCTCAGACCGCAAAGGTGTGCAGAGGGTCCGTGCCCGGGACATCGTCCCTGGAGACATTGTGGAGGTGGCAGGTACATTGGGGGCCTCTTTTCATTATGTGATGCTGGTGAGCCGATCCCTGTCTGTGCCCCCATCTTTCTGGCTCACACACAGAGCAGGTAGCTGTCGGATCCTTCCAAAGTGCTTCGGCCAGAACCTTGTTGGACAGATAAGGAGATTGTAGGAGGGAGCAGCATCTATCTCAGGGATCACAGCCCAGGCCCCTGCCTCTCAGCCCTAGCCTTGGCTCCTGGCTGTCCTCCTGACTCTGCCAAGGGGTGGTGCCCAAAGCCACACTCAGCCACTCTCTCTCCACAGTGGGGGACAAAGTACCCGCTGACCTCCGCCTCATCGAGATCAAGTCCACCACACTGAGGGTGGACCAGTCCATCCTGACAGGTGAGGCCCGGAGGCTAGGGCTGAGCAGGGGATAGGTCCAAGGATGGGGGTGTCTTCATGTGGGGCTTCTCATTTCTGATTCCATGACCAGGTGAATCCGTGTCTGTGACCAAGCACACAGATGCCATCCTGGATCCCAGAGCTGTGAACCAGGACAAGAAGAACATGCTCTTCTCTGTAAGTCCCTGGGATGGCTGGGGCCTTTGTCTGGACACTGATAATAAAAACTTTAACATTTAATCAGTTAAAGCCCTACCAGAAAGAACCTCCTCGATTATTGACAATACATACAAATTTATAGTGCTGGTAATAGCTTGTGTTTACTGAAGGCTGTGTGCCTGGCACTGTTCTAAGCCCTTTACGTGTATTTAAGCCTCACGGTGCTTTTAAAGTAAGTACTCTTGTTATTTGCATTTTCCAGGTCACACAGCCAGTGAATGGTAGTGCTGGGATGTGAACTCAGACATTCTGACTCCAGAGCTTTTGCTCTTGCCTGCTAGGCTTATCCTGCTTTAACCTGGAGAGGGACAGAGCTAGCCTATAATCATTCAATGGAGAATCCTCTAGAGATAAGCGTTGTCAAAGTGGTGGAGGATGGCAGAAACAGTCCATTTTTCAGATGGGAAAACCAACCCCCTAAGGCAAGATGTCAGGCCTAATGGCTCTTTTCAGGGCGAGTGGTGGGCTCAACGCTGGTGGGAATGATATGCCTCTGTGGCCTCAGAGGGACTTACAGGCTGCCCAGAAACAGCCTGAAGCTGAACATGGGAGCCATGAGGATGGGTCAGGCCATTCGGCTGTGGCCCATGGCACCAAGTTATAAGGCTAGAAAACCTCCCCAGAAGTGAACAGAAATGGAGAAAGCAATATTCGCCCAGAGTTCTTAAGGAGAGCACCCTGCCTAGATGCATGGAAGCCTTGGACCAGCTGCTTTGAAGTTGGGGGGATGCTGTACAGGGCATGCTCAAGCATCAGCAGCTGTCATGACGTAGCTCTCTAAGGGAGATGCTCCGGCTAACAGCGGGTCATTTCCTTAGCTGAAGGGCCTGCAAGGGGGTGGGGGCATGGGGGGGCGGATGAAAGAAGAGAAGCTGAGGTTGCCGGTGACACCTACCTTGTCTCCAGCCTCAGCACAGGGCACCTGTCTGAAGGGGTACCAGCTTATTAGCCTCCTCAGAGCAGCAGCTTTGTTGAACCATTTTATAGACGTGGACACAGACACTCCAGGCTAGCTGGCCTTTATACCAGGACTTAGGGATTTTACCAGGGCCTTGGGAGTGGATGGGTGTAAACTCAAGTTCTCTGGATTCTTCGGTAAATATTTACAGATTATTTACCTAGGATCACAGTCAGCCTGGCACTCTGGTGTGGCCACGTTGGCTTCTTATGAATGGCATTTTTCAAGGTGGGTAGTGTGCTGTGCTAGCTGATCACACTGTCAGTATCGATGCAGTGCTTCCCGTGCCAGGCCCCGTGCCAGGCACCGGGGGTATGGCGCTGCGGCGAGTCCTGGCCTAGGCGGAGTTAGCACTGTCATGGGGGCGACCGCCACAGCTCGGTACTGGATAGCTGCGTGAGGCTGGGAGCGCTGAGCCACATGGAGATGAAGGAAGCCCAGTAGGGGATAAGAACGTTGCCCTAGCCTGGAGGGGTTGGGGTCCTGGGCCCCCGCCGGGATGCTAAGCAGCCCTTCTCGTCTGTCCCCCGGCCAGGGCACCAATATCGCATCGGGCAAGGCCCTGGGTGTGGCGGTGGCCACAGGCCTGCGCACGGAGCTGGGCAAGATCCGGAGCCAGATGGCTGCGGTGGAGCCGGAGCGGACGCCGCTGCAGCGCAAGCTGGATGAGTTCGGGCAGCAGCTGTCCCGAGCCATCTCTGTGATCTGTGTGGCTGTGTGGATCATCAACATCAGCCACTTTGCTGACCCGGCCCATGGCGGCTCCTGGCTCCATGGCGCTGTCTACTACTTCAAGATTGCCGTGGCCCTGGCTGTGGCTGCCATCCCTGAGGGCCTCCCGGCCGTTATCACTACCTGCCTGGCTCTGGGCACACGGCGCATGGCACGTAAGAATGCTATTGTGCGGAGCCTGCCCTCCGTGGAGACCCTGGGCTGCACCTCAGTCATCTGCTCCGACAAGACCGGCACACTCACCACCAACCAGATGTCTGTCTGCCGGGTGAGAAGCTGCAGTTGGCTTGGGGTCCTGCTGGTGTTGCTGTGTGATGCTCAGCAGGCTGAGCTCCCTCCTTGGGCTGCCCCCTGACTCCTCTCTGGCAGGGGACGGAGGACAGAACCTGTGGGCTGCGCCATGGTGGGGAGCAGCTCCAGGCTTTCATGGGGCAGAGCAGCAAAGTCTGGCTAGACATGTGTCACTAGGACCCAGATGTCACTGTAGGGCCCTGGCAGGTCATTGCCTGTCTATGAACCTCAGTTTCTCCAACTGAAATTTGGGTATGCAAGTTTTTTTTTTTTTTTTTT